TTGACCAGAAAAGGAACATGCTTAATCTTAAAGATGTACAGGCAGTGGAAAATAAGCCAAGTTCACTCTACTGGAACAGTACTGTAGGGGACAGTGTAAGCCACGCCTGCTAGAAGCTGGCTACAGGTGTGCCTGACCACGCCTGTCAGGGAGTGGTCAAAGTGAGGTCAAGATGACACGCGATAGGGTTTTAAGGGGCTGCAAAGCACATTGGAGCCCCTTCTCTCTGGCCTGCCTGCCTTGCTGCCCCTGGCACGCCCTGGCTAGCGTTTGGCTGGTGTTTTTCTAATAAGGGATATCTTTATCCCAAGCTCCTTTTATTTCTTAATACAGTACAGAAGAGGTTCCACCCATCGCAGGCTCAGTGATAGAGACATACAAATTTTGTTCAAAGACTTTGAAGGGAAGAGTCTTCTGAGAAGGGACTTGTGGGATGCTCTGCTTACCCACGGCTGCCTGGGGCAGTAGGGCATTCAGAAACCACTGCACCTGGACTCCAGAGGTCCAAGAAAAAATTGTGCCAGCAGCAAACCTTGACATCTCTCATGTGATGCTGGTTTGGCAGGCAGGCAACATACAAGCATTACAAGGTAACAGAGGCTGCTAGTGCAGGTCTCAAAGAAAACCTAGGGGAGACCAGGTGGTGTGATGGAAGGCCAGAGTCCCTGAAAGCATCCCCTGACAGGGTCACACATGGAGGTGTGAAGTGATGCTGAAGCTACAGTGGAGGCCCTGGAAATTAGAATCAGCTAGGCTCTAAGGAAGGTGGTGCCCAGGCTCTAGGGAAGGTGGTACTCAGGATCTTCGTAGCAAACATCCAAGCAGAGGGCCTGGAAGCTGCATGCTTTAGCGTGTCACATTTACCCTGCTGGATGTATATCTTCTCCTCTAGCTTTGCATCTTAGGTTTAAGCCTTTGATCCATTTTGGTTAATCTTATGTGGTGAGAAGTAGGAGTCCACATTTACTCTTGCATTTGAATATCTACCTGTTCCAGAACCATCTGTCGAAAATTCTGTCCTTCCCACTACTTTATTGTCTTGCGAATGGAAACTAGAACACACTACAGAGGGTCCTCAAAATTTTTAAAATAGGGCTCAACTATAGTCTAACAGATACTCTAGTAGGTTTAGATTCCAAAGAAATTATATTAGTTTATCAAAAAAATACTTACATTCTTGGGTGGTGATGACACATGCCTTTAATCCCAACACTCGGGAGGCAGAGGCAGGCAGATCTCTGTGAGGCTCACTCTGTAGAGCCTGGTCTACAGAGTGAGTTCCAGGACAGGCTCCAAAGATACTCAGAGAAACTCTGTCTTTAAAAAGCAAAACAAAAACCAAACAAACAAAATAAAACAAAATCAAGACGCTGAGAGTGATGAATACTTGTGCTAGCCTCACTGTCTCCATTTAGACAGCCTAGGAAACAGCACTACCCACAGGGCATGGCTTCCCACCTCCATGAGCCCAATCAAGATAATTCCCCACAAGAGTGCCCAGAGATCCATATCCCCAATGATTCTGGATCTCATAAAGTTGACAGTGTAGATTAACGATCACAGTGCTTATATATAGCATGTTGGCTACTAGAAACATATTCAATTTAATATGAGAATCGGAAGCAAACAAAAACTTAATTTTAAAATTTCAATTAGCCATAGAGAGCACATTTATTTCTAGGCTTCTTATCTACTGAATGAATGTGTACCATACTCTCTTAATTCAGTAGCTTTACAGTGTGTTTTAATATTGGAAGTATAAGCTCTCCAACTGTCTTCTTTTTCAAAACTGTGTTGACTATTCCCGATATCTTGTATTTCTAGATGTATTGTGGAATCTGCCTGCCCATTTCTCTCTCTCTCTCTCTCTCTCTCTCTCTCTCTCTCTCTCTCTCTCTCTG